CTGAAAGTCGATGGTCCCTAAAAATCACCATGAAGAAAGCTGCAGATAGACATGCAAACACTTAAGCTAATAGTTTTCTACAGTTGTCCACGTTGAGTTCTACATGCTGTGAGTCGTGAACTTCCCTGAGCTCAATATCTGGACTTTGTCCACTGTGTTTGAAAATTCCCAATTTCCAGCTTCAATTAAATGCAGCATTAAACTGGGTGACACTCAAACTAAAGGAGCACTTCCTTTTAAGCAATCATGGTGCCATATTCATGCATTCACAAACATAGTTTTTGAATTCACAAGCCGAGTTCAGCAGCAGCTCCGGCTCGAGGGTTTTAAGCTCACACAAAAAAGTTGTCATATTTAAATCAGCACGAAATCCGAGACAGTTTTATGATCAGTAACATTGAGGCTGTCGCTGTGAGGAACACCTTGTTAGTTCATGCTACACTCATAACATTTATAGTTTAGTGTTTGGATCAAATAAGAAGATTTCACTCTAACAACATTGAAACAATATTAAATTGAAAACAAACTTAATATAATTTGAAAATACCCTCCTTAAAGCATATTTAGTGTTAAAAAAACGACTGTTTTCCACACTGATGGTACAGTTTGTATCCTGTATCTTCCTGCTGCAGCTCTTCATAGAGCTAAATGAAATATTTAAACCACTACACTCAAGAATATTTCACAAAAAGAAAGAAAGAAAAAGGAGAGAGACTATTCTGTGTGAGAAGACAAAGTCAGCGTTATATTTAGTACCTCTGTTATTTAACTCGGGCTTTTGTTTAAAGAGAAAAACTTGTTTTATAAATATCAATTTGCGGTGATGAGCTCAACAGCATCTCTGTCACAGGTGAAAATGTGTTTTTCCCCACATACAGAGCTCCACCCACCACAAAGTTAGTCTTGGACATCGTATGGTTGTCCTTTAACGACTGACCAATCCTTCGACAGATGGAAATCACCTGCAGAGATTCCTTTTTGTTCAGATCCAATCACAACAGGGAATTATTTGATGGACTGGAAGTTGTTAGCAACACGTCTCATTGAGATTTCTCTGATTTTCAGTGAACTTTAGCTTTAAGAAGGCAAACAGCAATGTGCAGGATGAATGTCTCAGTCTGTAGTTCAGGATTTTTAGTCCACATCCCCGAAGTCAGTGTCCAATAAAACATCGTCCTCAGTACTCCTCTTTGATGTTCAGAGCTAGAGAAGGAGACACCAGCCCGTTGCTCCCGCTGCTACTTGTCACCATCGCGACGTTGCTGCTCCCGTTTGCATGGAGGCCATTGCCTCCACCTCCGCCGCCGCTGCCGTTACTGCCGGTGGGAGGGGTTGGCGTGGTGGTAGAGGAAGCCGGCTGCTGGAGTTTCTTCTTGTTGATCTTGCGCTCCTTTGCTCGCCGGTTCTGAAACCAAATCTTTACCTGG